TGTCTCATTTTAATCAGAAATTTGCGGGCTACAATCATGTTTCATTAAGAAAGGTCTGAGTTATTTTTTAGAGTTTCTGAAAAACTGTTTTTTCAGAAAACCAGACTCTTGAGGCCTAGCGACCCGTTTCATGTTAATATTCGTAATCAGCATAGTCGATAATCTATAACCCACCAGATTTCGATGAAAAAGCATGGTATCACCTCAAGAGGTTCCCTCGTTAGCTGCGCTCTAATATTTATTTTAAAAGATTACATATCTTAAAGTCAAACATTACCAGTCAGACGAAGAACTATCACTATTTCTAGTGAAAAATGGTGTAGGTCTAAGCTAAACGCCATTACACACACGCACACAAAGGACAGGAACAGATCGAAAGTAAAACGCAAATCATTCACATAAATTATGCAATTGAATCCACGACCTTGCATGTATGAGGTAAATGCGTTTACTTTGGACTAATTGTCCAGGGAAACTTTCTACGAGGAAAATTTTTCTGAAATCTACATTAGAAGCTTGCCGTATGTATATAAGGTGTGAAGCAGAAAATTTGCGCAAAAGAAGCAGCAAAGGTTTGTTGCAGATTGTTTGAAAATATCAGAAGATTTTGCATAGATTATTTGCAAAGTTCTAGAAATTTCTGCAGATATGATTATGTTTACGAAATGTTTAGCAAATATTTTTATTGAGGCTGCAACGTGTAGTAACCGTGCAACAATTTGTGAAGAATGTGTGCATATTTTATAGGAATCGGCTGATGTATGCAGATGTCACAGATTCTGCTAGATTTCTGATACAAAATTTTGTGTACATTCTGTATGCAGATTCCACATAGAAATTTATGAATTGTAAAATCTGTACAGATCTGTTGCAAAAATCTGCAGAGACTTGGGAAGAGTAAATGCGTGAGAGTTGCTCTTTATGCACTAGAATCTGATTGTGCCCATAACTTCCATGCGATTTCTACCTCTTAGACAAGCCAAGGGTCTGTTTTCTTTGTGCAGAAGTCAAAAGTTAATAGCGTTAAAGTACAATATTGTCATCTCATACAGAACAAAGCAAAGCCACACATAGGCGTTAAACATAAAAGGGAAAAATGTTTTTTGTGCACGTTTTTCTAATTAATGAAATAAAAAAAATGAAGACACATTTGTGCACGGTTTTTCAACGAATAAAAGATACTTTCGTTTTACATGCAGATGACCTAAACAGATAAGATGATCCATGAACAGATGTCTTGTTTAATACAAACGTCTACGTACTTTTTCCAGCGTATTTAGTGACTGAAAGGTGTGATCAGTTGTGAAAATTGGTGCAGAATATATTAATAGTTGTTTTGAAGTCCATCTGATGAATCATCTCTTTGAGAATTAATTCAATCCACACAGTTCTGATTACACTCTAAATATTTCTTCTTCAAACAAAAATCATGTCAAGAAAAATTTGAAGTTTTGTTAATAAATTTTTACAAAAAGATGTAAATGGATGTTTATTTAAACCATGACAAAGTATCAAAATTTCGAACGAAAAATATGAAAGATCACTAAAGTTATATATCATTGTTTCCGCATGTAGAAAATATCCAAAATGTAGTTTTCAAATTCATGTATTGTCTAGTTCTCAAAATGGAATAATTAAAATAAAGAAACAATGGGATATAGATCAACTAATAAATGGGCTCATTCTTTAAATACTGTGTACAAAAAACATCTCCGTGCACATTCGTCTTTTCCGTGCACCTGTCTGTAATCGTGCACAAAAATATCAAAAGATTTTTTAGTACATGGAAAACAAACCGTGTACAATTCTGGAAAAAAACGTGCACAGAAAAATCCTCGTCCAACAGAAAACGTTTAGTCAGGTAATGGAGTATTCTGCACTCTTTAGCGAATACAGAACAGTTGACACAAAAACAATTTAAGATCCTCTCAGTTCTCATAGTAATCAACAGAATTTTCAAAAAACTAAACTACCATGTTGGGATGTAAATGAAAGGAAAATTTTCTAGCAAGAGGTCATTTAAATCTTAGACAGATGGATTATGCGAAAATATTTTATTAAATCCGCTGGCGGAGATAAGGCCGTACGCAATTTTAACATTAAACGATTTCGTGATCATCCAGCAGATGAAAAATCATTAGTAAAGCCATTACTAGAACAGTATCCATGTCAACAACGACTATTACTCATTATTTGTCCAAACTGTTTTGATCCGATGAGTTGAGCAAGGGGATGAAATTAAAAGTTTCACAAATGTGCCAGTTCATTTTTGGAATTTTCAATTCTAAATAAATAGCTTGTTGATTGGATGATCTTAGATCAATGAAAAGTGGTTGTGTTCTTTTGATGATGAGTCATCGCTCGGAACCCCACACTTTTGTATACACATTAGCATTGCTATCTTTTGAACTTCTGAAAAACGATACTGATGTTTCTAAAGGAGGAACAATAGGAAGAAAACGTTTGCTAATCAGATGCCAAATATTTCTTTTTAAATTTTCAAGTAATATAAACTCAGTTTTTTAAATTGTTTTATTATTTCAGGAATACATTTTGTATATGTGAATATTTTAAACACGACCAAAAACATGTCCTTAAATGTTAGAGTTTTTATTTCTTTAGTTGCCAATTACAGAACTTAGAAGTGAGTTTATGATAGCTGCTGTACTCACTGCAGCATCTCGTTTTATGGTACTTCTTCTAAAAGTGCTGTCGTATTACTTACTCATATTATTAATTTATGGAGTAGCTGAGACTGACTGTGTAGGAAAGCTCTGTTTGCACGAAACTGGACCCAAATTTTGAATAGGGATCTCCTGTCTAACAACACAAAATGGAATTAACATTATGTTTTAGCGCAGTAATAGTGGGAAAAGGATGATAAGTTACTGCGAACCATCCTTCACAACAGGAGGAGTAGAAAGAACAGACAGAGTGAGAGAGAGAATTAAAGCAGGATATGTTTTCTTCTTGCTGACAAAGAAAACATCGATAATTGCATAATAGGCTATTGTATAACATCATGCTCATCTATTAATATCATTTCGCTTGTTTTAGATAAAAGTAGAATGTTTTCGATAATATCTCGTCGATGTTTAAACATTACTTTGCGTTATTGTCCATTTGCTTATCAAGTATCAACAAAACATGCGCACACATTATCAAAAAAAGTCGTTACTAATACAATATGCAACTCAAAACTTCAAATAGTATGCATTTAAAGTAGAAAAAAATTCAGATATATTTTTTTACTTCTATTCTTTCTTCATTTTTCCTTTAGTTTTCTTACAATCAAAATCGAAGTCTTACACTCGACGAATGGGCTGAAATAGGAAAGAAATTCGAGACACCCGATGCATTAACACCACAAAAACTAATTGAAAGAGTTATGCGTGTTGTTAACGATTTTGATAAAGTCAAAGAAGCAGCAAAAACGGAGGTGTGTGAAAAAAAATATTATGTTATCTTGGATCACCAGCAGTCTGTTATATTTTGAATGCTAAGCAAATAATAGATAAAGGGTGGCCCAGAGGTCCTGTCTCATTCAGTATTTTCTCAATATTTCCGTAAAGGTTGATCGCCAAGTCTCAATCTTTTTTTTAAAAAAAAAAACATCATAGAATTCTCTACACAGAACATACTGAACATTTCTTTATTTACTATAAAAATAAAAAAATATATAGGAAATATAAGAAAGCTTCAATATCGATTACTTTCAAACCCAAACCGCAATCAAAAAATATTTATTTTCTATGCATTCTATGCATCAAAGTGGTATCGAAATGTATTTTCCGGTTCTCCAGAATGTCAGCTTTCTTTTCTTTTATCACAAACTTTTTTTTCTGCCCCCAACGAAGATTTTACTAAAAGTAAAAAGAAAAAGGGAAAATTTGATTTCTTCGCCTTGAGACAAGAACCGAAACGGGGCTATTCGACTTTCTTTGTTCGGATGTAACAGAAGAATTATTTTGCTTAAAGATAAACCGGATCTAGAGCCATAATATGTGGTGTGGACCAAATCACACAAATTTTCCTAAATGTCTCAAAACTGCGGCTAGAAAATTATGATTTTGAGCAAAACCGGTAAAAGAAAAAAACCCTCCTGCGACCACTTGAGCCTATGAAGAGTCTTAAATATAGCCAGTTGACAGAGCTTTTCGAGAACTACAAAATGGCCATTTTCTCTTTTTTCATATTGCAAAAGATAAGGGAGTGAAATTGAATAATCTGTTTTTTCGGTTTGAAAGTAATCAATATTTCCGAGCTTTCCTGTATTTTCTCTATATTTTTTTATCCTTATAGTATATAAAGAAATGTTCAGTATATTTTGTGTAGAGAATTGAATGAAGTTTGTTTTTACGACAAATCTTGAGACTTGGCGATCAACCTTGACCGAGATATTGAGAAAATACTGAGTGAGACAGGACTTCTGGGTCACCCTTTATTTATAATTTTGAATGACTTATCTTCAATCTATAATCGACATTTTAACCGATATTTTTTGTCGTTATGTAGAATACAATTGTCCTAAATGAGATGTTATTTAATTTTTAAATGTCTGTTTTATTCTCAGTATTCAAAATAGAATTAGTTGCTAATACTACGTGATCAGATGAATTAACTGGAAAACTTTTAAGAAAATTGACCAGTTATCTGTTTATGATCGCTTATTTAAAAGATATTTTTACATAAAAATAATCTGTCCATTTAGGTGACTGAAACAACTCATTTTATGAATGATCTTGGACTTGATAGTTTAGATCATGTTGAAATTATTGTTGCACTAGAAGATGAGTTTGGATTTGGTACGTATGTAGTTAGTTAAATGATAATAAACGTTTATTTTGTTTTGTTTGTTTTTTTTAGAGATTGCAGATGTTGATTATGATAAATTGTATACACCACGAGCTATTGTTGAATATATGATTCAAAAATTACATATTAATACATCTCCACCACCTTTACCATCATCAGACAGTGATCCTCGTCACAATATTCCACATTAAAATGTTATAAAATTTGCTATTCTTTTTATATTGACATTTTATACTTGATCCTAAAATATTCAATTCTAATTGGATATTTTATATTTTGTTGAAATCAGTGAGAGTAGACCAGTTTATTAGATATTTTGTCTATTTTGTAATTACACTTTTTGAAATAAACTTACTTGTTTTTTTCGTGTGTATTTATAAAAATTTTATTCTTAGATATTTGTAAAACATTGTCGAAAATGGCTATTAGTTAAAGAATATATTTTCTATTTCGTTGCTCAATTTTAATTTCATAATTTCTACTATCTGATAAACAATTCATTGGTTATTGTTTAACGTATAAACTAACATAAAGTATATTTTTCAGGAAAATAAAAGTCATGATTAGAAAAGTTACGATGTTTTCTTACTCTAATTATACACTCGAATACATTACAGGTAAGAATATGTATAATGTATTTTATTATTATATGTTTATTTTCGATGCCATTTTCGGAAAAGAGAATGTTATCTCTCACGTTAAAAAAGAATTAGAATATTTAAAAAATCACTATTTATCTGTTAGATTAGAAAGTATTATAATGAGGAAAAAAATTTCGAATTTTATTCTTAATTCAAACGTAAAATTGAGACACTTCATTTTGAAAAGATAGTTTTAGTTTAATCAAGAAAAGAAAAATGGAAAAGGTAGATTTTGCTTTCTGTAATAAAGTATGCAGAAAAAGAAGTTGACACGTGAACGTAGTAGTGTAAGAACAAAACAATAACGTTAGACTAATATATTCAGTAGGGAATCATCGACTCGCATATAAAATGTGATAGAAAAAATCCCTGATGTTCCGAAAAAAATAGGAAAAAGAACTTATTATACACACATTTTATTATTCAAAATTATCGTTTTTCTAGTATCGGCTGTTCTAACTGATTAAATAGATAGATGAAAAAAAAACTGATGACGACAATGACAAGAGAGAATAATAATCTTGTTTCTATTATTCTGTATGTAGACTATACATTTTTGTAGTAGGTAAACACGTTTCCGTGCAATTGATTTTTTCTATTATAATTATCTATAAGATGAAATTTACCGTATCTGTTAGCTAGGGTAAATGCATTTTTTTTATTATTATCATATGAAAAAGCTCGTAAATTATCTCGCAATACTTCTAAAGGTGAGTGCTAGATGTTTGACACAGAGGCGTAGAAAGTGGATACACATAATCTACACATTGCGCTTTTTTAAATTGTTTGTTTTTTCCTCTAGTAAAATATTTTTTGGAAATATAAAGTTGACACTTCCCAAAGTAAAATTTTAAGACTCCATCTTCACTCAAAAATAATAGTCGATTTTGAAATTTATACATCATTGGATAGTCCAAAATATCAACTTTCCAATGCACTATAGGTTTTAGTCTTAGTTGTAGTGATTTTTAAGAAGTTTTTTAAAAGGTACCGTACAAAAAAATGAATATTTTTCTGTGCGAAAATGTGCTTAGAGCATCCAAGCAGTGCATGAATATGCTGTACATGTCTTTTTCCCATGCTCATTCAGTTCAGTATAATCCACAACCTAGAGTAAACTATTATTATCTAGCATCAATCGTTTATTTTCGTCGTGTTTGTTTTTTTCACGAAATCCTCTTTTTCAAAAGGTAGGTGTTGACACTTCTCAGATTTTTCAACCATTTTCAAAACTTCATAAAAACTCAAAAACAAATACGTGTTTTTTGAAAAGCTCTTGATTTTTCTCAGAAAATAAGTAGAAAATCAAAAATCCAGCTCTGTTAAATTGTAGTGCCAACTTTTGGCTATATTTTAAGACCGTCTAGGTCAAATAATCCTATCGTAAAATCCTATAAGATCCTACTTTAGGACCCTGTAAGATCTCACAAAAATCCTGTGTAATTTTGTAGGACTTTGTAGAAAAGCTTCAAAGCCAAAAAATCCTACTGTAATATTGTTATAGGATCCTGTAGTCAGATCTTGTAGAATTTTGCAAGATCTTACAGGATCCTATTGTAGGATTGTAGCAGAATTTTATCTGATTTTCTGCTGGTTTATCCTACTAGGTTTATTGTTTTTATTTTTTTAATTATTCTCTGATACCAGGTGATTCTGAGCTAGGATAAGTCCAAAGTTTGTGAGTACTGACTGACACATCGTCGAACAGTAGCGAGTTTCGATGGCTCACAGTATTCGGTGCGGAAATTTGAACCTAAAAGAATTTTTCATTTTCTACAATAGAGTTGTATTTGTATTAGAGTTAGTCTACTACAAAACACGTTGACGATTGTGTTCTCGTATAGAAAAAGAAAAGAAAATATATGAAGAACGAAAAAATAGGAATCCTATAAAATTTTACAGTAGGATTTTGTTCACCTTCGCAAAGCTGTTTCTTCATACGGCGCTTGAGGTTATTTTAAATTGCCAATCTTGTAAGATAAAGAGTTCTGTATAAAATGAGATGTCTCCCAGCTCTATGGCATATTTTCTAACAAAGTTATGATCATTTTGCTCTCAAAAAAAGTGAGTTTCGTATTCCTAATTTAAAAGAACGTTTTTAATATCAGGCTTAATTGTGTCGCCTTACTACTTCTTTAAAATTTCATCCAATCAGGCTCAAATTTTTATCCTAGATACTTTAACTCAGAGGTATTTTTGCGATTTTTTAAAAAATGTTTTGAAGCTGAGTTATAGAGTTTTTTTAAACTCAATGATCGAGATCTCTGGAAAGCTTTTGACTATTTTTTGATAAAAAATTTGAGCCTGATTAAATGAAAATTTTAGGGCGATCGTAATGCGGCACAATCAAAAACTAAATGTTCTGGAAAACTCGTGAACGGTAACAGCTAAAGACATGAGACAAAAACAAAAGAAATGCTTCATTGAATTTTCAACTAGTTCTGGAAATGTGACGCTTTAATTATGTCGACAAACATCTAGTATTTATGCTGGGAATTTTCTTTTTTCTGTTTTCTTTAAATTTATTAATTTTGTCTTTTTGCGAAAAGAGAACGCCATGATCCAGCAAACTACTTATCGTAGAGAAGTTTTGAAAAAGGGACAGTGTTCTACGGAAACCGGAAATTGCACGTTAACTCAATTAAAGATCCAAACTCGGCGGTATATGCCCATAAGTGGGCAAAAAGGTAGCTGTTGAACTTAAATTATTATTGTTATTTTTTGTCCGGCGCCATTTAGTCGCAGTCTCTCTTTTTCAAACTTCCTTCATTGTTCTTTTATCTTATAAGCAGTTCAAAGAGTAAATCAAAGCAAAAATGCAATGCTCAGAGCCTACTGATAGGATCTGCTTAGAGCAGTAGATTCAGTCAGAGACAGAGTCTGTAACCCTGTTTTCAAAGTAAGTATTTCACTTTTCATCAAAAGTTTTACAAAACTTCTAACCCTCTCAATGTTTTTTACGAAATCTCACAAATGCAGAAATTTGAGCACAGTTTTTTGAAAAACAGTAGGATTATAGAGAGGAAGATACACTCTTCACAATGAGATATTGCGCATATCGATGTTTTATTAGAAACCTGATTTATTAATTTCATAAAAAATGAAAATAATTGTAAGTCACGTCAAATTGATTTGAGACATTTCAAAGAAAACGATTTTGATATTTTAAATTGAACTTGTTTGACCTAAATACATTTTGTTTTAACTGCACTAAACTCGCATGATTCATAAAGAAATTATGAGAATGAATTTGTTTGTTCTCTGATTAAGCGTCACGACGACGATTAGTAAGTGGATGGATAGATGGATGACAGCCACTGAAGATCGATTCACCGAATTATTTCGTTGACGTCTGACGTATATATTCTCAACTGTGTTGAGAGAAAAAGTAGAGAAAGGCAGCTTCGAGGACTGCGCGCGCAGTAACAGTCAACTCAAGTATCCAAGGCTTGCGCTTTTCTGTAACGAAAAAGTGATTGTAAAACAAAATTTACTTAGAAACATTTTAGACTTTCAAAACATATTCCACTATAGCTGCTTCAGAAGCTGATAAACTTAGAAGTACGACAAATTCAAAGAAAATGTTCCATATCTTACTTAGAATTTTACTAGAGAACTTCGCGATTATAAGCACGAATTTTTGAAATTTTTAAAATAAACAATCATGCAAAGCAGCGATGGTATATTTTGAAAGTCTATAATAATTTGAACGAGTTTAGAGTAAGCTAAAAATTACAATGATAAATGACGACTCCCATGTTGAAGATGAAAATTGACGCTATTTACTCATATAAAAAACTGAAATAGTTATATTTCAAAAATTTGCACTATAATAGGATTTTTACAAAAATCTCCTAGAAAACTTATTTTCAGAAAATAATATTTGTAAATTGGCTTCAGCAACCGTGGATAATAAAAGTTCTGTGATCGCTGTTCTCAGATACTGGTGCTGATCAGTACTGATTCATTCAAAAAAGTAAGATAGCTTCAACTGATAGGTGTGATTTTCAATTAGTTCTTCTTTGTTAAATAGAAATACACATATATGATGGCAATTTAAGAAAAGATTTAAAATTACAAAGAAAAATCTCAAAGATTTAAAGAACATATTATATTGTGTAAAATGTCTAACTCTATCTTCGAGCATGGAAAAAGGAAGAATATTCCATCTTATGGCTCCCGTTACCGATGTAGGGCGCTCATAAGTTTCAGTTTCAATAGTCCGATATCTTTCCTGCTGCTGACAAGCTTCTACCATAGTCACCCATATGGTTACTACTATCCATTTCAAAAAAGAAGGCCAGTCACTGTATGTCTAATAACTTTGCACTGGAAGATGCTGGAGACCTGCGGTTTTCGTTATCTGAAACTAAAATCTTGG